GATGGATGGATGATGGATGATGGATGGATGGATGATGGGTGGATGATGGATGATGGATGGATGATGGATGAAACCTCATTCAGCAGTGAGGCAGATAAACACAAATGTCAAACCTGAACAGTGAAGCCGTCCAGTACCGGTCGCGGTCGCTCCGAGGTGACACCTGTAGTGTCCTGACTGTCGTGTAATCTGTAATCTGATTGGACGTCAGAGGACAGGTGAGCTCTGTGTGTCTCCCTCAGGTGTTCTGCTACACAGCCAGAGGTCTGTATGAGGAGCACAAGCTGCTCTTCACTCTGCTGTTGGCTCTGAAGATCGACCTGCAGGCCCGAAACATCTCGCAGCCCGAACTGCTCACCTTCATCAAAGGTCACACATCCTCCTCCATCCTCCATCCTCCTCCATCCTCCATCCTCCTCCATCCTCCATCCTCCTCCATCCTCCTTTTCCTCCATCCTCCATCCTCCTCCATCCTTCTCCATCCTCCATCCTTCTTCATCCTCCTCCTCCTTCATCCTCCCTCCTCCTCCTCCTCCTCCATCCTTCTTCATCCTCCTCCTCCTCCATCCTCCCTCCTCCTCCTCTTCCTCCATCCTCCATCCTCAGAATGCTTCGTCAGTAGACCTGTTTCTCTGTGCAGGTGGTGCCTCTTTGGACCTGAACTCTGTAGAACCTAAACCTCGACGCTGGATCTTGGACCAGACGTGGCTGAATCTGGTGCAGCTGTCCGCCCTTCCTCCCTTCAGCCGGATCCTGATCCAGGTGAGAGTCCCGGTCCTCACCTGAGAGCAGGTCGAGCTGGAGAACACCTGCAGATGTCCTGTCTCTGTGCCCAGGTGAACCAGAACGAGCGATCCTGGAGGACGTGGTTTGACCAGCCGGCGCCCGAAGAAGCTCCGCTGCCCGACGGGTACGAGGAGAAGCTGGACGCCTTCCGGAAGCTTCTGCTCATCCGGAGCTGGTGTCCCGACCGAACCACCGCTCAGGTCTGACCCATGAACACTTCAGGAGCTGGTGAAGTCCACCAGACCTCCTCAGAATCAGGACGCAAAGAGATGAGCTCCTGTTTCCTGAGTCTTTAGAGTGTGGCGCCCAGGTGGATGTCAGACTGGTCCGGTCGGACGTGTTTAATGTTTTGTGCTCATCTTTGGTCGTTTTGCATCAGTTCTGTGTGGTTCTGTGTGTCTACTGTTTCTGGGTTTTTCATTTTGCGTCCCTCTTTCTGTCTCGTGTGTCTCGTTTTCCAGGCTTTTCGTCGGTTTGTGTCTCGTTCTAGTCGTTCAGTGGGACGTTTTGATTGTTCTGCGTTTCTTTGGGACAGTTTATCTCTTTGTGACATGAAACTATGACACATCCCATAATAGGACATGAACAGAACCAGGTCCAGTGTTCAGACTGAGTCACCTGGATGGATGTAGAACTGATCTGGTGTCAGGTTCTAGCAGAACCCAGATGTGTTCTTCCTCCTAAATGTCATGTGTCTATCTGCTGTACTGATGAAGTTCTGAGGCTCAGAAATGATGGAAAAAGTCCATTAAAGTGATCAATCTGGACCCTCCTCTGTGGACTTCAAGGACCTGGACCTCTGGAACCTTCACAGTCTGAAGGTAGAACTCTGGTCATCGGACATGTGTAGATACAGAACCGTGTGTTTGTGTGTTCAGGCTTGGCACTACATCTCCGAGTCTCTGGGTCAACGGTACGCTGAGGGTTTGGTTCTGGACCTGGACGCCATGTTGGCAGAGAGCGACAACAGGACGCCGATGGTCTGTCTGCTGTCGATGGGCTCCGACCCGACGGAGAACATAGAGAGACTGGCCAAGAGCAAGGTGAGGAGGACCAGAGTGGAGATCAGAGCAAGGAGGAGGAGGTCTTCGTTATGAGACAGAGTCCTGCTGATGAAAGCTAAGAACACTAGATGTTTAACAGGGAAGTCAATGTGGTCGGTCTTCGTGCCTGGGAGGTTTCCAGTCAACTCCATCATTATTTCCAGGTTTAGAAGGCACATAACAGAAACGTCACACTTTCTTTCACTTTTTCTACTGACCCACTTCTGTCATAAATGTAAAAGCTCTTTCTAATGTTCACGGGAGTCGAGATCCAGAACCGACATCAGATGAGTTGATGAAAACCACACGTCAGCATCAGAGAACTTCAACAGGAACCGTCATTTGGAGTTAATCAGCTCTGGCTGGAGGTCTTGAACCTCCTCAGAGTCTCTGTCATGGTCCCGTTGCTGCTAAACTCCCACAATGCTCTCTGCTGCCACCAGGAGCTGTAGTCTGAGTGACGCCTCCTCTGGTCTCTACAGGATTAAACAGTGAGAGGCTCCCCCTGGTGGAACAACCAGGTACTGCAGCTGGTCTGTATTTACTGACCTCATGAAGGGAGTTCAGGTTTACTCCATCTGGTGGAGCAGATCCAAAAAGGCTCTTCACTCTTTCTCGCAGAGCTGAAGCATGTGTTATCCAGAGAAATGTTTTGGTCACTTTGGAGCTCAGGAAGTCCTTAGATACGATGTTTCTGTACGTTTAGTCGTCGTCCTGAACACACCTGGCACATATCAGTACAACCGTTCCAGCTGTAGTTCACGTTAAAACCAGGATCAGAAGCTTCTGGGCTCCTCGGAGTAACTGTTCTCCACTGGGTTCTGTTTGTTTTCCAGTTAACTGGTTTTCTGTTTCGACTGAACCCTCGACGTCATCGTCACTCCCCAACGTTTCAGTAGGGCTTGAATAAATGACTAGTTCAGACCAAACCTCAGGTGTGTGTCGGCAACGACGTGATGACCAACAACACGACGTGTAGCGTTAGCGAGCCACTGGATGTTTGCTTAATACTGATGGATAAAGGTGGATCCTGTTCTCCACCTGCAGGGGGCGCCGTGCCGTCCCATCTCCATGGGGCAGGGCCAGGAGGTTCACGCTCGCAGGCTATTGGCCAACAGCATGACGGACGGCGGCTGGCTCCTCCTCCAGAACTGCCACCTGGGACTGGACTTCCTGGACGAGCTGCTGGAGACGGTCACCGCGGCGACACCGGACGACGTGCACGCAGGTTTCCGGGTGTGGCTGACGACCGACGTGCACGACAGGTAACCCGGAGACGGCGCCAACGTTGCCACGGCAACAACACACCAACCACGATTCCACGGAACCGCCGGGCCGGTTTGGGGCAGAGTTTAACACAAACGAGACAAAAAGTCTAAAAGAATGAATAAATGAATCGACACAAGCGACACAAAATCACACAAAACAGAAACAACAAACACGAAAAGTGACGACACACCAGACAAACGAGGCACTGAATGGACGTCTGACGAGTGGATCAGGTGGTTCTGTTTAAACTGGATCAGAGCAGCCGCAGCTGTAGTCAGTCAGAACCACTCAGAGGTCGTAAAACTAAGAGCGTTTGATGAAAACAACTCTCTACGTTGCTGTGTGTATGTTCAGGACCCAGCAGATGTCCTCATATGTCCCAGAAGACCTTTATCAGAGCCGTGGGGAAGCTGTTCCCACGAACGTTTCTTGATGCAGTAAATACGTTCTGGGAACGTCGCCAGTGGCGCTCCGATTAGTGGAACTGAACGCATTTTGCTCAGACTGCAGTTCCTCTTCCGTCTGAAGCGCTGAGCTGTAGGAGCTGGAGCCAGACAGCAGCTGTAGAACACAGAAGCACTGATTATTACCGGACTCAGTCCAACGTTCTCACCCATCCATGACTTGCTGTGTGTTGAACAGGTTCCCCATCACGTTCCTTCAGTCGTCCATCAAGTTCACCAACGAACCTCCTCTAGGTAGGACGGGTTCGGCTTCTTTGTGTGTTTTGTTTGTCCAGTGAATCCAGTTCAGCTGACAGTCTTTGTTTTTTCTGACTAATTTACTGACCTCCTCAGAACATCTGGTTCTGATTCTGCAGAACCTTTATCTACTGACCAGAGTTCTACCTTCAGACTGTGAATGTTCCAGAGGTCCAGGTC